AACCTGACCTTTGAAAAGTTGCCAGTAGTTGTAGTTGATCATCAGCTAAAGGAGCTCAGGGGCAAGTACATTCCTCTGGTAAAGGTTTTGTGGGATACAGCTACTGGTGAGGCTACTTGGGAGGTGGAGCAGCAGTGCAGGGAGCAGTATCCGTTTTTATTCCCAAGTAAGTTTGTTTTCGGGGACGAAAACTCTTGTTGTTGGGGAGGTTGTGAGACCCTCCTTTTTCCTTTTTCTCTCCCCGACACACACTCTCTCACTCACTCTCTTTCCCAAGCTCTGTTCACTCTCAATTCTCACTCCCTCCCAAATCTTCTCTTGGCTGACCTTTCCCCTTTGGTGTGGATTCAGGGTGCTGATTCTAGGTGTTGAGAGCTAGTAGAGACGCAAACTCTTCTTCTCCGTTCTTCATTTCCTCAAGCTTCTTCTTCCCTTCCCGCTGTCCCGGAACTCGGATTCGTCACCGAGGTAAGGGAAGCTAGAAATTTTGCTTTGTTCTTGGCTGAAAATAGGTTTAGGAACGTATGTGGTTGCTGGAAATTGTGTGTGCTTGACTAATCTTGCTGCAATTGAGGTTTTCGGGTTTTGGGGGTTTCGGAGAAAATCTGAGAAAAATCCTTGGTTTTGTGTTTGCATGTTGTAAATGAACTGTTTTTATTGATGTTTGGATGAAAATGGATAACTTGGATGGTTTGCATGTGGAATTTCATGATCTTTTGCAGGTTTTTGAAAAGATTTCGAAAGTTTGAGGTTTGCTGCTGAACTCGCGCTGAGCGCAGTTCTTCGTGCCGGGCGCGTGGCCACCTGAAGGCAGTATTTAGGCAAGCCGCTGGGCGCAAAGATGTGTGCGTCGGGCGTGCTTGAAAATATTTGCCTCTAGATGACCCACGCCGGACGAGAGTTGAACCGCGCTGGGCGCGATGTCAGTTGTAACTTGATTTTGGACTTCTGGCATGGTGCTGAGTGCGATTTTTGGCCGCGCTGGGCGCGGGGACTCTTTGGAGTCTCTGCCATGGAAGGCGCCGGGCGCAATCCAAATTGCGCTGGGCGCGAGACCAAGGAAGGTCTCTGCCTTTCCCATCGCTGGGCGCGGGTTTGGGCACGCCGGGCGCGAGAGATTCCTGGGAATCTCTGTCTGGCATGCGCTGGGCAAAATTAACTATTGCGCCAAGCGCGGGAGAGCCTTGGGCTCTCTAGCTGAGTTCTGCCGGGCGCGGGCATGCTTGCGCTGGGCGCGCTGACCCTCTGGTTGCACTGTGCTGGGCGCAACTACGAGTACGCCGGGCGCGTGATGAGGTTATATTATATAGTGTGCAATGTTGTTTTATGCTGAGTTGATTAGAAATGGAAGAATACAAAGTAGATGATGTTGTTGCTGATGTTGAGTTATGTGAGTTGCACATTCTTGTAAGTGGATATGTTGAGTTGTATTAGTTGTACAGTGTTGGAAGATGATATGTTAAGATGAACAGTTGTGTTGCACTGTGTGTTGCTATTGGATGTTGTAGGCCGAAAGGCTGAGGTGTTGTAGGAGATCTCCGAGGTGATATGCGTGATGACGCATTTTGTGTGTATTGATAAACTGTGTGGTAATAACTGACAGGATGTTTATTGATGAATTGTTGATGGTTGTAATTGCTGTTATTACTTAAAAATTTCCCTATATCTTGTTCTTTTTATACTAGCTTACCCTTGTTGTTTCCATGTGTTTGGACTGCGATGATCATACTTGTATGGGAGCAGAGCAGGGCTAGATTTGTGATAGGAGCAAGCCTATAGCTGGCAGAGGACGGGGAGTCTTAACTGACTGATGTTTTGGATGTTAAGCCACTATCTGGCTATTTTGGATTGTATTTTATATTGTACGCCCTAACTCTAGTCGGATTGGAACATTTGTATATATTTATATTCTAGATCCTATATTTATATACTCGTTCTATTCTGTCTAGTGTTTCCGGTGTGCTGCGGTTATGAGTGTGGTGACCTGCCGGGTCGTTACATTTCACATCGACTAGAGATTAAACAATTAAATAGTATACAAGTGAAAAATAATCATTACCTTACAAGTCAATTTTGTAGGGTTGAATTAGACTCAAATCTACTATTCTAAGATGGTATCAGAACTATCATAGATCCTTAAAATGAGCCGCCTATCCTATATTCTTAAAAATGGGTCACCCACTATTGATACATGCACCATGTGTATGAGGGGGGTGTATTCAACTCCCGCCAATCTTAAATCATTAAAAAAGGGTAACCGTCACCTTACAAACCATTTATTTACGTACCAAGTCTAATAATGTTGGACGTGAGGGGTATATTAGGAGAAACTCAAGTCTCACATCGACTAGAGAGATTAGACAATTAAATAATATATAAGTGAAAAATAATCCTCACCTTATAAATCAGTTTTGTAAGATTGAGTTAGGCTTAAATTCACTCTTCTAAAAAGTTCCAATGAACAATGGCCTACCGGGAACAAAATTAGAAAGTGATGGAGATTCAAAAGATGAATTTTGGGCCCTAAATTTGATGTCCAAAACTCTAATGAAGCCTGTGCTTTTTTGGGCTCATATTTTACTTGCTAACTGGCATGGAGTTAACTTTCAACAGCAACATAATTAGGCACAAATAGTTGACCATATGTGTATTTTATTTGATGATAAAAATGTCCATTTTTTAAAAAAAAAAATATATCTTTGAAAAATAAATTAGGTTCACTGTTGAGTTGAATATTTAAGCTACGCGGTCTCGATTTTGGAATTATGCCTAACCAAAAAGTAATAGGTAAAATCAGCAGTTTCTTTTTTTGTTTGTTTGTAAAATATTATTACACCTCCCTTCTCACAATTTTCTTTTAACAAAGTTTAATAGAACTCGTTTTATTATATCTTAATTTAGTTATTTTATACTTGAAGTACATTATTACGGATATATGTAATTTTTTTTTCAAAAGATAATAATTTTAATCAAAAGCCAATTGTATGTGTACTGAACTAAACCAAATAACCAATCAAGTTGCCTTAAGTTTGGTTGGATTATTTAGGAAAAAGCAAACATCAATTCTAATTTGATAAATATAATAACCAAATGGATAGGTTGGCATGAATTCACCTCACAAATCCACCAAATCAAAGTGATTACCGGGGAGGAACCACTGAGAAACAAATTGATACTTACTATTACTACCTAATATGTGGGGAAACATAGTTACTAAATAATAATATAAAATAAATACAATTACACTATTTTGGCGTAGGAAATAAAGGAATAAAAAAATGTGATTTGAGATTTAAATTAATATGATTTAAATATGATTTTTAAATTAATAATTATAAAAATTAACAAATTTTCTACAAATAATAATTTGAGATTAAATAATAATATAACAAATATTTATACTTCCATGCATTTCTAAATGAATTTTAGAAAACAAGAAAGAAAAAATAAATAGAGAATTGTTTATGCAGCTATAACATAATTATTCAATTACAAATTTCTCCATTTGTTAAAAAAAAAAGACTGCAGTTTTATTATTAAAAAAATATCAATGCCCGATTTTTTTTTCTTTTGATTTTCTATATAATACTATTTTTTTAATTTGTTCCAATCAAAAAAATTAAAAATAGTGTATTTATTGATAAAGTAAAACTATTTTAGTAAAAATTATTTATAAAAAATAATATATTTATTATTATTTTAATCTATATAAAAACTTTAAACTACATTAACAGATGGAATATTATGTACAAGAAAATTTGTTATTTCTTACGATAATTTCATTAAAATCGTGCTAACAAAGTTCTTTTTATTATTATTATTATTTGAGAGTGTAATTTTGTTTAACAATCCACAAAAGGAATTAAACTCAAAAATAAAATGACAAGATAAAAGTAAGAATCCGTGAATTGGACACAACACAGCCAAAAACCAAGAGAAAAACAAAGTCAAAATAAGAGGAAAAATTTTTATACAAAAAATAAAATAAAAGAATTAGATGGAGCCCATTGTAGTCCTAAGATGGCAGATGATAAATACACCTCCACTCTCGTATAAACACACCCCTTTTTCAAAAAAAAAAATATATAAAATGTCTAAATTACCTTTTTAAAAAAATGAAATTCCTAAATTTACACCTCCCTTCCCCGCACCGGCACCAGAACGGGCCGTTCTGCAAGAAGAACGGCCCGTGCTGCAAGCAGTACAGGCCATGCTGCTTGCAGTACGGGCTATACTGAAAGCAGTACAGGTCGTTCTACTTGCAGAACGGGCCGTTCTATTGCAGTTCAGGCCACCGCGTCAGTTTTAAAATGGCTACCTTATGACTAATTTTAAAACTCCAATTTTAAAAGTCATTTTTGTACTAGTGTGTCTTTTCATAGAACAAGTAAGAGTCTTTCTCTTACAAGACCACCTGCTGACATTGCGCACCCCTCTTCTTTCTCTTTATGACACTCCTCTTCTTCTTATTCTTACTGTTACGGAAAGACTGTTACGGAAAGTTCTTTCCGGAATTATATAAAAATGTTCCGGAAAATACTTTCCATAATATTAAATTCTTATTCCGGAAAGTATTTTTCGGAAATGTTTTGTTACATAATTCCGGAAAGTACTTTCCATAATATTAAAGTTACTATTACGGAAAGTTCTTTCCGGAATTATATGAACAATAATTTTACTATTCCCGAAAGTACTTTCCAGAATGCTAATGACCGTAAAAGAACCTTTCTTATGCTGGTTATGGTGGGGCTAGTCCTTTTTTTCTATTCAGAATGACTGTAAAAGTATATTGTTTAATGACATTGAGCGGAAAGAGGCTTTAGGAAGAAGATGGGTGTGGAGTATGGGGTAGAGGAAAAGAGAGTGTGGGAAAGAGAGGTATAAATTTAAGAATTTAATTTTTTTTAAAGGGTAATTTAGATATTTTATATTTTTTTTTAAAAAAAGGGTGTGTTTATATGAGAGTGGAGGTGTGTTTATCATAAGCCTCTAAGATCGAGGGTGTGAACATTACTAACCCACCTCAATTGTTTGCATCACCAACACACTTCACAATCTCACAACTACACACTCTGCATTCATTGCATCCCAATTCCATGATGCTCTTTTCATCACTTTGTCCCAATTCTCCATCCTCCAATTAATTCGCTTCCCAAAAGCGACCATGCCAACTCCACTTTCCCTCATTCAATTCAAATTTCATAATACTTAAAACCCACAATCAACTTTTTTTTTTTTTTTTTTTAATCTCAGATTCTTCAAATTCTTGGATCTGACTCTGCTCACCACACTTACCAAAGCAACGTTTTTTGGTCCCAAGTCCAAGATCCAATGGCGGTTGCTACGAGAGGAACCAGAGGTGGATCTAGTTTTCGTAGCTTCTTCTCGTTCCGGATCTTCATCTCCGCCATGTTCTTTCTTCTCTTCATTGCCACCCTTTCGGTCCTCTTCACCACCAACCCCTCCACATCGAACGACGACTCTGTAAGTTCCTCTTTTTTTTTTTTTTTTTTTGTACTTTTCAATGCCCCTTTTGTGTTTCCATGCCAAATTTTCGATTTTGATTGAAACCCATTTTAATTTTGCTTAATTAGAGACGACCCATTATTATAGATTCGATTTAAAGCATAACCCTCATGGCAAAATTTTTAATTTTGGTCTCAATCGGTGTCTTTGTGAATCTTGTGATACTTGACATTGCAAAACAGAAATTGCAGATGAATGCAAATGATCATAAAAACCTTGACGTTGTTTTTAAAACCTTGCCACATGGTGATTTGACAAAACTGAACGAACCCCATGTAATGATTTAGGTGTTTTGGTCAACAGGATCTTCCCACGACTGGTAATGCATACGTGCATCGGACCTTTTTGGCATTGAAATCTGACCCTCTTAGGACTAGAGTGGAGTTGATACACCAGCAAGCTAAAGATCACATAGCACTGGTGAATGCCTATGGTGCTTATGCTAGGAAGCTCAAGCTTGATATTTCTAAGCAGTTGAAGATGTTTGATGAATTGGCGCGCAATTTTTCAGATATTTCATTGAAGCCGACTTATAGAGCAGCGTTGTTTGAGTCGGATGGACCTATTGATGAGGATGTGCTGAGGCAGTTTGAGAAGGAGGTTAAGGATAGAGTGAAGATTGCAAGGATGATGATTGTTGAGTCCAAAGAGAATTATGATAATCAGTTGAAGATTCAGAAGTTGAAGGATACGATATTTGCAGTTCATGAGTCACTTGCGAAGGCAAAAAAGAATGGTGCCATGGCAAGCTTGATTTCGGCCAAATCAATTCCCAAGAGCTTGCATTGTTTGGCGATGAGGTTGATGGGTGAGAAGATTTCCAATCCTGAGAAATATAGAGATGAGGGGCCCAAGCCGGAGTTTGAAGATCCCACTTTATATCATTATGCAATATTCTCGGACAATGTTATAGCCGTGTCTGTGGTGGTGAGATCGGTGGTGAAGAATGCAAATGAACCGTGGAAGCATGTTTTTCACGTTGTTACAAACAGGATGAATGTTGGGGCAATGAAGGTTTGGTTTAAGATGAGGCCTATTGAAGGGGGTGCATTTTTAGAGGTGAAATCAGTAGAAGAATTCTCATTTTTAAATTCATCATATGTCCCAATCTTGAGGCAACTTGAGTCAGCAAAAATGAAGCATCATTACCTTGAGAATCAAGCTGATAATGCCACAAATGATGCAAACATGAAAAATGCCAAGTCCCTGTCCATGTTGGATCACCTTCGATTTTATTTGCCAGAGATGTACCCTAAACTGTATAAGATCTTACTGTTGGATGATGATGTTGTGGTTCAGAAAGACTTGACAGGTTTGTGGAAAATTGATTTGGATGGGAAGGTGAATGGTGCTGTTGAGATCTGTTTTGGTTCTTTCCACCGATATGCTCAGTACTTGAATTTCTCTCATCCTTTAATCAAGGAGAGCTTCAATCCAAAAGCTTGTGCTTGGGCCTATGGCATGAATATATTTAATCTTGATGCTTGGAGGCGTGAAAAATCTACAGATAATTACCACTATTGGCAGAGCATGGTAAATTTCTTCTTCTTATAGTTATCTTTTCTGTGCTAAGATTATGTATTAGTTTACTAGGTTTTATTTGGATGAACTTCTTAATAAGTACATATAAGAGAAGAAAATAAGACAGTGAAATGAATTAAGCTTCTCTCATAAGTTAAAATTAATTTATGCATAAGCTAATTTTTAGAAGTTTTCTCACTTAGTTATCCCTTATTTTACTTATGCATAAGTTAATTTTAACTTATGATAGGATCTTAATTTAGTGTATCTTCTTATTTGTCTTCTCCTTTTGAGTGTTTATTCAGAAGTTTATCTAAACAGGGCCAATTTAATCGCCTTCTCTAAAACTATTATTTTGCTAGAAAAAGATTCTTGAATAATGCTCAAGCTATTCCTTTGTACTATTGCTAAATTGGTTATTATGTTATCAGAATGAAGACCAAACTTTATGGAAAGCGGGGACCTTGCCACCGGGTTTGATCACCTTCTACTCCACAACCAAGTCATTGGACAAATCCTGGCATGTGCTTGGGCTAGGATACAATCCCAGCATTAGTATGGATGAGATCAACAATGCTGCTGTTATTCATTACAACGGAAACATGAAACCCTGGCTTGATATTGCGTTGAATCAATACAAAAATCTCTGGACCAAATACGTGGACAATGATATGGAGTTTGTGCAGATGTGCAATTTTGGCCTATAGTTGAGATCAACACACGGCTGTTATCATTATAAAGGCTTGAGATAACATGGCAATTGTGGTTTACCATATTCTTTTGGAACTGAGAATCTCAAGTTGAATGTAGCCTGTCACAGAGAAGTTCTGTGTTGTCACCAAGTTAAATCTCAAGTTCAGAAGCTAGGCAATAATTTTGATAGACTGTATTTGGAAATTTACACGAAATAGTTTTTATTTTTTCTCCTTTCTGTATTTTGGAACATATTTATCATGTATTCATTTGCTGATGATGGTAGTGTCATGACTCAAACTAATGAGAAGGCACTACTTTTTATCTATTTAACACACCTACTACATGTTATATTTTGTACGTTTCTAGGCATGCCTCTTTGTATTTCCAAAATTGATAATAGGAAAAGGCCATGTGATGCAGTGATTTTTCAGGGATTTGGTCACTTGAATGAAGCACAGTGCATTTTCAACCAGGAATGTTTCATTGTTACAGAACTTTTGAGATAGGTAGTTTTTCCAGTTTAGTTTTCTGCAAAGAGATTAATTTTTGGAATATATCATCTTTGGATCTTTACTGGGATTGTATAATCCATTTCATAGAAATATTTGTTAGAATGGGGTTCTTTAATTTTTTTATGACTGCTTTTTTTCTGTTAATCTACATCTTGATTTGCTGTATTAGTAGGAATCTCTTTTGATCCATAACATATTTCTCTTTTAGTGAATATGATATATCATGCTTTGTTTTGTTTGGATATAAATGTTGTCAATGCAGCTTTTACACCCAAAAGTATGCATAAAATGATTCAATAAGGAACTTCTTTAAAGGAAACAGCTCTTTCAACTTTCAAGTGATAATACATGTTCTTTTTATATATCATGCATATATGTTGATGTGTTAAGTTGGCTTGTCTTCCCTTGCCATAGTCACTAGTGTCATGGATACTACGCGTGTTTGGTTCCACGTTTTGAATGGATTTTTTACATCTCGAATGTGATTTTAAGAAACTACGTTCATATCCCAAAAAATGTGATTTCTTAATTCTCTTCAGGTTTCCAAACTTGTCATCTACCAATCTCTAAGTTCTTGGTAATTGCCCCTTATCTTCAGGTTTACAATACTAATATTATTTTACTGAAATAAACAGTTTGATGCTTCTTGTCTAGTCTAGCAAACATACTGGTAAATCAAAAGCTGCAAAAGCAAAATATCCATCAGTTATGCAATTGAAATTGAATAGAGAAGACTGGATTACGTGGTTTACATAATATGAGTGACCATCATTTTGTGAATTTGAGTTTGCTTAATGTTAAATTTGATTCAAAGTCTTTATATTTGGAAAGCAGGTTTATAATAAAACTTGGTAAATATGAATGGAAAATGTGAAGAACAATATGGTAGCATTACAGAAACAAAATTGTCCTGATTTTTCTTCTCTTTTCATGCTTTTCTCATTGATAAGGTTTTGCTATATGATTTCATGGTTAAGTTGTGTTTTATTAATAGGTGTTAAGATATTATGGAATGAATATTCTAAGTAATATCACTATTGTTCCAATAAAACCAGGCATAGGCTTTGGACAAGAATAAGGCATTGCCTATACTAGTAAATATAGTGTCAAACAGGGATGGCAAAAATATTTGTACCCGTAGATATTCATAAATAAAATCTGTTATGGATAATAAATGGATATCCGCGGGTAATGGGTATAAATATTTTTCTATCCGTTTATAAATGAGACGGGGATGAATATGATAGTATTCATACTTGTGGGTACCCGTTTAATAAAATTTCTTAAATATCCTTATATATATCTATATTCAATATTAGTATATTAGTATATTTTTCAATATTTCATTGCAAGTTAAATTATAATCTACATTGTAAGTTTTTTATTTAGACATATCTTTTGTTTGAGGAATCAAGTTGCAAAAGTGAGGTTGATGAAATTACCAACATCACTAATTAAAAATGTTTTAATTCTTAACATGCTTTAAGCATGTTATAGAATTATGGGTGTAATTTGATCTATTATATAGCTTTGTTTAGACCTATAAGATTTATATATTTTAATTTGTTACTTTCTTTTGGAATTATGATATTAGATTATTGTAATTTATGATTTGAGACTTTCAATTACTTATGAGATTGGTGTATTTTAAGTTATTGGCTATCTTACATTTTTTTATTATTTTAAATATCAGCAGAATTAACGTTAAATATAAGTTTAAAAATTAACATCAATTTTTTATTTTTAACATTTTAATGACATCAAATACAAACTTAAAATTATTTAATATGATTTTTTTTATTTTTTTATTTTTAAAAAAATCATAATTATCTATGAATATCTATAAATATATTTAAAAAATTCATAAATATCTGTTTAATAGATACTTGCACAAATATGAGACAGATACAAAACAAATTTCTATCTTGATGAGTATAATATTTCTATCTTGACGAGGATAATACTATCTACCACGAGATCCCATTGCTATCTCTATTTACAAACAACATATTGAAGATTAGAACAACAATAAAAACTAGTTTGCTTTTTTCACTACGAACTTTTATGTCTTACAAGTCTTTGCTATGCAGATTGTGTACATGTTTTTCCACGTCATCATATTGATGCTCAATTTTTCTCTCAGCGGCATCTCCACTTTAAGAAATTGAGATAATTTTCTAAATATTTTCTATGTTTACCTTATTCGGCTAAATTGAACGAAAAATTTAATTTTCATATAGTGATAATTTCTCACATTATTATCCAATTATAGAATTTCATACATATAGTAAAAAAAATTATTTATAATAACTATTTTAGAAGTTATATTTAAGATGATTTTTTAATTATTTGACAATAAAAAAATCTTTACATTATAATACAAGAAAATTAAACTTAGCGAACATATCAATGCCAAGAATGTAAATTTTGGACTGTATAATGCTTCGGTTTCAATATAGCATTGAAGAACAAGACAAAAAAAAAAGGAGTCAAAGAAAGAATAATCTTTAGCTTATAGCTTTACGTTTCAACAAAAAAGTACATTAGCAGGGGAAAACCCAACGTTTCTGAATTTATTTACAGAAGGGAGAAGAAAAAAAAAGCTTTTAGGTACACTAGTCCATGAAAACAGAGAATAATGATTTGGGAAGTTGAAAAAAAAATTTATTTTTCAGAAAAAATGGAGATTGAACAGATTTTTTTTTTAAAAAATACCTGTCACATATTAGGAAAGTTAGGTATGTTAGTTTTTTATTTTTATTTTTTTTTACATAAAGCAATGTTAGTTAACCTTCGAAAATTAAATTCTACAAAATTTAACTCCTCTCTTCATTAAATAGATGTTTGTAAAAGATTAAATTGAATTTTTAGTCTCTATTATCGATATACAATTTTAGTCCTAATATTTTAAAATAAATATATTTAGTTTTTATAATTTTAAAAATATAAAATTTTGATTTTTTCACTAAATTAATATATATTAATTATTAATTTTTAAAGTGTATTTATATTTAAGTGATGTGATATTTAGTAATAATATTTAAAAATAAAGGTAAACTAGAAAATATGTAAATAAGATTTTTATTAATAAAATAAATATCAATCATTCATAAAAATAGATACTAACTAAAATATTTTGTATGTCATTTTTTATTTATATTCATATGTGTTACATCACTGAATATAACGTTACTTAAGTGTTGAAAAATTATTAAACAACATCAAAATTTAATTATTAACAAGTATTAAATTAATTACAAATCTAAAATTTCATATTTTTAGAAATATGGAGAGTAAACATCTCTATTTTAAAATAGAATGATCAAAATTACATATTAACAAAAATAGAAGGACCAAAAGTGTAATTTAACTTAAGAAAAAATAATCTTAAATTGTGTTATTTTAAGTTTTTTTTTTAAATATAACATTTGTAACGCCTAATTATATTATATATATATATATATATATATATATATATATATATTTCTTATATATTGTTATCACAATTATATCACTAATAATATTTTACATAAAGATAAAGAAGATTTTGTGAACTTGTTTATATATAGTTAGCTCATATTTACATCTCATACCGTACTAAAAATATTTACAATACATACTTATTTATGTACTATCACTAGTACAGAAGGGGTCTTTAACGTCGGACATTTTAAGCCTTTTACGTGGGAAAAGACTCCGACGTTAATACGGGAGACGTAAATTTACGTCGGCTATCATAGACGACGTAAATTTACGTCGGATGTTTCCTCTGCCCGACGTAAAAAGGGGCTTTAAAAGGGAAAAAAGACGCAATAATTTACGTCGGACATGGTCTAGTCCGACGTAAATTATTGCGTTTTTTTTAAATGTTTGTTGTTTTTTGATATACCCAAAATTAACCTGCATATATATATAGTCTAGAATATAAAACCTAAACCAGACAGTCCAGAGTATAAAATCTAAACCAGGTAGTCCATAATAGAAATTCAAATTATATTTCAAAATTGAATGACAAAGAAAATAATATATAAATGTTAAAAAGCATAAATTATGACGATGTAAATCCTATTATCCTAAAAAAGCTATAAAACATATGTTTGTCAATTCTATCAAACTAGAAACATAATATCTAACTAACTAAACTTAGAAATCTAACTATTATATACTTTGAAGAAAAAAAGTTGTCCATTGTTCTCTTATCTTGATGATCTCATCTTCGGGCAATGGAGATGGATCTTGAAAGACCTGAAACATTAATTTAAGTGTCATTAATATGCAATGTTAATTATCGTAAAGGTAAATATACTTAAATAAATTTTGATATGAATTACCTGCGCCCAAGAATCAATAATACCCGCAGAAACTATGGCTTTCATCCAATACATGATGTAATAGCCACATTCAAACGAGTCTTGTTGCTTAT